AGTATTATTATTCGCCAATAGATGTCGGGAAGAGTTGATTATTGAAAACACGAATAAAACAACATTTTCTGAAAATAAATCGTAGCTAGATCGGTCAGCTGCTGCGAACCATAGGTGCCACAATATTGGCCTTGGCTGCTCTGACGAGCGCCTTTCATTTTATCCCTACTCCGCGGCCGACCGTCACGCGACATGCAACACACAGACGAAAAAGTTTGAGACGATGTAAGAACATTTTATTTACTTCTTTGTTCATTGAAAGTTTAGGTGTTATGGAGACGATGCAAAAATTACACCACGTGTCTAGGATATTCACGTCGAAATTTCAACAGTAACAAACGGCTACCCTACGGAAATGTTGTAGATGACGCTTTGTTTGTCTTATCATAAATACAAAAAAATAGACATCAATAAAGAAGATAAGGTTACTTGAAGATTCCGAGAGAGTTAACTTCCAAGTTAAAAACGAACAGACTAATATCATGAGAGGACATCCGAATTCCTCGCCAATTAATCACTTCACAACCGACTGTCTCAACTTATGTTCTTTTTCGTGTATTATGGATTGAAGCATAAAGCTCAAATTAAAAGATGTAAATACAAAACAACTACACTGTAACAAACCAAATAGACAGGGAAATAAATTAAATATTACAAAATGCAATTATGGAAAAATCTAAAAAACATCGTGTAATAAAAATGAAACCCGCAAAATTATAATTTGCGTAATTACTGGTGGTAGGACCTGTTGTGAGTCCGCACGGGTAGGTACCACCGCCTTGCCTATTTCTGCCGTGAAGCAGTAATGCGTTTCGGTTTGAAGGATGGGGCAGCCGTTGTAACTATACTGAGATCTTAGAACTTATATCTCAAGGTGGGTGGCGCATTTACGTTGTAGATGGCTATGGGCTCCAGTAACCACTTAACATCAGGTGGGCTGTGAGCTCGTCCAGCCACCTAAGCAATAAAAAAAAAAAAAAACTTTTTTTTAAATAAGCGTATCAAATAAACAAGAGGTAAGATGATAAAAAAAACATTTTTTAATCATGTCGACGATTCGGCGAAACCTGCGGAAATATCAAACGTAATATATTACGAAGGGATATCTCCAAACATAATTTTATACAATACGAAAGACGTGCCTCCGGCTAAAAAGGACTAGTCCTTTCTGATGAGATTCATAATAATCAGGCGTATCTTTTTTTCCGTAGCCCGGACGGACAGACCCGTGATTCAGCGTCAGTTTCTCTCCTCCGGTAAAATAATTAAATGTTTGTACATCAGAAAAGCGTACTTGCTTCATACGAATGTATTTAAATATAACATTCCCTTTTGGTTCTTGTTTAATTTCTCTAAAAGGTTTCCGTGCTTCCAAGAGCTTCTAGAAAGGGTAAGTAATGTTAACAAGTTTGCGCTGTTACAGTTTTTTTTGTGTGTTACGAAATATTGCGTAATCATTTGTGAAGTATCCGTCAAATATCAAAATTTCAATGATAATTTCAATGTTAATTTCTCAAAGTTTTTTTTGGTGATATTTCATAATATTTTTAAATGATTAACTCAGTAATTTTAAAGTAAAAATATCCAAACTTTAACCATTAAAATATTTTTTACGGTTTAATCTCTATATTTTAATTATCGTCATTATTATTATTTCCGATCGAGTTCCATTTCGAATAGTTTACAGTTTTCGTGGTCACACGGACGGCAAAGCTGTTTTACGTCAACATTTGCATATTGTGCTTCAAATATTTAGCTTTTTTGTTCTTTTCAACCAAAATAGCCTGAATTAGCCTCGAATTTACTTGACTATAGTGAGTCGATTATCGAAACTTCGAATGCAACCGCCGCTTGTCGTGAAAACTGACGTAAATTGTAGTCGAGTCTCCGGCAGACAGAGTCTACACCACATTTCACGCTAAGCTCATGCTATAATACTATTAGTTCAATTAACCCTTAGACTACGAGTCAGATTTAATAATACAATACGTATTTACGACCAAGCTATTATTTTTCGAATAGATCAGGAAACAATATTGATAATTTTTAAGGCTATAGACAAAAGTAATAAACAAAAAAAAATCTAAAATAAAATAATATTAAATATAAACAAAGCTATAGTTTATGAAACGAGGACTAGATGTTAATTTGTGTTACAGTAATTACTGGTTTGCCTTTCAAAACTGCCCGACAACACTGCCTTAGGATAGCAATAGGAAGGGTATCGGTATTTATCCATAATACCTACTTTTTCCCTTGGTGAATAACTGAAGCTTCGCCAAAATGCTGAATGCGACGAAGCATATTGGTGTTGAACCAACTAAAAAATGTTTCTCCTTAACTTGTACCCGAGTCACACCAAAGAGAGTCAGAGTCACGCTTTTGCGATACACCTTTCTTCCTATTACCTCACAATATAGGGCACCAAACCGCCGGTCTTCTTGTAGTGAGCTGACCAAAATCTTATCTATGTTAGTTACATACTATGTTAGTTACATACTAACGTAGATAAGATTTTGAAAATAAAAAGTTTACTATTTACATATATACACAGGTTCAGCTTTACGTGGTATCTTGTTCCTATCTGCAGGCTGAGGCTCCTAAATACAAGCTACTTCCATTTTAACGTTCAGGTCCATACTGAAAAGGACCACTAGAATAATCAGCAATCCCGTTCTTAAGGATCGCTTGGAACCTCTGATTCTTCTTGGAGCATTCCATCATCGCCTTATGCGGTTCACTTCCAGAATTGTTTTTGTCACATATCATCCGGCTTTAAAACGAATTTCCTTCCACGAAATGTTCTGCTTCAAATCAGGTTCAAGGTGTGCTCTCGTAGGAAACTGACGATTTGGCTTTGCTCCTGAATTGAAAATATCCAAGAGTAGTAGAGGCCATATACAGGTATGATACCCAGAAAAAAATGTCACCGGTGAATCATTTAGTTGCCATTTAGAATACTGCGAATCTTTTTCCAGTCTTTCAAAAGGTTATATGATTACAAATACCCTAAATTGTATTGAAATTTACTAGGAGAATACGTAACAACAAATCTGAACCTGAATTATTAATGTTACAGATAAGTTATGACGATAAATTAATAGATACATTTTATCGAAAGGAATATTCTATTAGTTTAGACAGTGCCGACTTTGAAAACTCACTCCAGTATTGAACGGGTTTATTTTAAGCCGTATATAATTCCACCATCCTCAGCACCTGCCATTAAAATAAATATAGATGAAAGTAAAATGGAACTATGCTCGTATATAATGCTGCTGCATAAATTGACTACATAAGACAATAATAAAAATTATTCTTTGCCAAGTATTTCATCCACGAGTCTGATATTTTTTTAAATAGAACAGCGTTTCACTTTGAATTTATACGCGTAGTCGAGTCCTAATAAGTCTTTAAGCAAACAATTTAGTATATCAATGTCCAATACGTATCGGGCTGTATTTTGTAAGCCACGCTAAATTTGTTTTTTCGGATATAGAGCGACTGTTACATTACGAAATTGGAAGTTTTCGACCGTTACTTCGGTTATCGGTGATTTCACGCACGTGTACTCACCCAGACATTGCTTCGCCGAGCATTGAATTTTTGAAGGAGAGTTACCTCCTCGGTGTCCTACCACGAGCGAAGTCGGCGTGGTGTAATGTGTTCTTTGAGTTGAGCGCATGAGGTTTGAGTCGCGATGACGTCATGATTTTGGCACAATGACAGTAGGAAAGAGCGTAGTAACTCGGCAGGGGATTTGTGCTACAGTTTTATAATTATTTGCGGTACGTAATGGGTGATAGGCTTATGAGCACACCGGTCTCTGGAAACGACCTAGATGTATTGCTACTTCACAAGAGGGTTAGTAATTAAGTCTCTCAAATTCATCATAAAGTAGACTACTTCCTGAAAAATATATTCTTCGACTTGAGGGCAAAAAATATGCTATCCTGAACACTACTGAATTAAAATTCCAAATTTGGGTGTGTTAAATTGAGGAACAGATCAAACGATTTTCATCGAACTCATATTTAGCCATAGTGTTTCCTATTGCACAAACGAGTGAATGAGATCAGAGCTCACATGGTATTAAATTATTACCGAAACATCAGAAGGTAAATTCCGTCACTCACTTTGAGACGCAAGGTATGCCCCGATTGTTAATCTTTAATTAACGATATTTCATACTACTACTCAAGTGTCTCAAGATNCAGATCAAACGATTTTCATCGAACTCATATTTAGCCATAGTGTTTCCTATTGCACAAACGAGTGAATGAGATCAGAGCTCACATGGTATTAAATTATTACCGAAACATCAGAAGGTAAATTCCGTCACTCACTTTGAGACGCAAGGTATGCCCCGATTGTTAATCTTTAATTAACGATATTTCATACTACTACTCAAGTTTCTCAAGATGACATCGTTCTAAATATAAACAAAAATTTCCTAATAATCGTAAGAAACAGAAGCACAATAACAATTATCGTGAACGTGAACACAGTGACTATAGGCGCTTTAGGTAGCGTCAAGTGTCACGCGCGGAACGGTAAGCGAGTCAAGCTGGCGCTAATTGATGTATCGGATTCTCACAATGAACGATAAAATACTGCTTCCCACAATTGTTAAAAAAGCGGTACGTAGCACACAAAAAATAGGAGTGGGAGTCTTTTAGCTGATATTAGATACCCCTCTAATTCAAAGTGCGTGTTAAACATGGGCATGCGATATCTTCTTATTCGACTTCCGGCTACTCTTTCAAAATTCATCTATAGAATTTCATACGATATGTTTTCCTGCGCGAATCTATACGCAAGGATTTTTACTCCCACCGTTATGCCAATAGTAATGAATTTGGCGACCTTCTCTTTATGTTAGAATATCCACAATTACTTTGGGTTTTTTAACAGGTCATGAATATCAACGCGAAATTTCACGGGTGCTGAAGGTTGGCATCCTTTAATTCGTAGTATGTTAAGTATCCCACACGACTCACCTGTAAACTGGATTGTCATCTCGGTACCAAACGACTAGCAGCATGCTATCGTTGCGCTGTGGCGGGCGACTGTCGCAGGGTAAATTAGCCTCCCCGCCTACGACCGCCGCTACTCTTGTCACTGTGCCCGTTACCGACGACATCGGACTACCTGGAATATATAATGATGTCATCTAAATATTATCTAAGAACGATAATTTGGATTAAAAATTAATAAAAATGCCTGTCAAATGTAACATTTTAAGTTGCAATTTGCCATAAAAATCCTTTCGATGGCTTTGTTCTAATTATGATGTTCGATTTCATTAAAGACTGATTTTCCAATTATCAGATGAAAGTTATGCATCAAGTTTTAATTAATTTGATTGAATTATTAAGTATTTTATTCACTGAATTGCAATTTTAAATTATTTGAGTCTATTTGCCTTTTGAACCTTATCTGATAATTGGAAAATCAGTCGACTGTGGCCATGAAAATTGTGGCTTGGAAAAGTTTTTGGGAAAGAAATAAATAAAATAAAAATTTAAAATTCTCTCTCTCTTTTCCTTTCTCTCTCTCTCAATATTTTACCTAAACTTGATGTTATTATTATTTCTACAGCAAAATAGATAACTAAATGTATGTCGCAAGATGAGTGACGTCATTTACGTTGTCATGGAAACCGCAAGCCAAGTTGGTTGTGAGCTATTTGAACTGTATCTGACAAAAGGTTAAATAGCGTGTTTTTGTTGATCTGTTAGAAGCTACCACACATTTCACAACGCCCTCCACGCCACCAGAGACAAAAACAGATGGAGAAAGATCGTGCATGAGCAGGTAATACAGAAACGTGGTCTTGTTTCTTACAGTGAGGAATACGATGTAAGGAGGAGAAGCTAAAATTTGAGTCACAACTATTAAACTTCAATATTTCATGTAATAAAAGTAATTGGAATCATTGCTACAAGTTGACTTTAAAGCTTAAGGGCTCTGAAAATACAATCTAACATACAAAAGTTACAAGGCAAAGTGGTAAGGCGAGCTTGGACGTGGCGGTACGATCATCTCTATTATCTCTGCCGCGGGAAAATGATGCCTTTTATCTTTAACGAATGAAGCTAGGGGTGCAAGTGGTACCTAACCGTAGGAGTTGACAATACACTATACCTCCAGTTACAAAAATTTTGATGTCATTTTCAATACATGTCTTTGAAGTCATCGTGGCCTGAAAGATAAGAAGCGCGTTTCATTCGTATCGAGCGATGCAACTACGCCAGTATTCGAATCCCGCAGACAGGAGCTTTTCATTGAAGTCGTACGTGATCCGAAAAAGTTAATACATTGCCGAGCATATGATTCGAGTACATTACCGACTAGATCACGGAGCCTTACCGATTCAAGTTTCATCTATAATCCGCTAAACCCGTGTCTTTCCTTTTGTTTTTATTTTTTATGAATAAACAAAAAATACATTAATGGACTACAGAAAATATCATTTCATGTTCGGTTAAAGCCGAGAAAATCCCGGCGTTTATCTGTTTAAATCCTCGCATGAAACAGTGTTACCCTATAAGCGGACGGAATCCCTGACAGCAAAACATTTCAGAGAGGGGCGACAAGCGAGTTTTAATACCTAATATGATTTGACAATTGTTATTTGCTACACGTTTTAAACAGGCTAATTCGTTTCAACTCGTATTCTAATTTTTATTTCAGATGGTGTCGTTTTAGTTGCCATCATTAACAGAATTTATTTTTGTATGAAAAAATTAGTACTTAATGCTACAATTGCGAGATGTAGAAATAAAAATACACTAAAATAAAAAAAAGGTCCATCAACATCAGTAGTAAGCGATGATGATAACTTCACAATAATAAGTGAACGTCCATACTTTATTTAACAAGGATACTGACTCCGACTGAGAATGATGCCCAGAGACCACGGTACAAAACGCACAACCATAAACTAACTAAAGTCGAATAAGATCAACAATAAATCAAATCAAAAATATGATTCACTGAATTATAATAATAAAAATTAATTATGAAAGCAAACGCTTTGAAATGAGTGAAACAATTTATTTATTCAGTGATCAGAGCATCAATAAATGGACTGAGGTCCATGATAAATATCACTTAAAAGATAGATACAAATGAGAATGCAAATAGTTGACAACATGGTGAAAAAATATATAAATAAAACTATAAAATCCAAACTAAGACACAGATGTGTGTACTGTACCAATGACCACATGTCGTTGGTATGATATTACTGAACAACTACATCTAATTGGATGAAAATTGAGTTGCTTAGATTCATATTTACCTTAAATCAATTTTGAGAATTCGCTATCTCCTACGATTCGTGACCAAATGAAGTTTGAAAACAAGAATATTACATACGATCGCCGTGTATACGCCGCCCGTCCGAGGTGACACGGACACCTGCCTCGCTAAAAACCCTTTCTGATATTTATATATGTCCGGAATGGCTTTTAAGGTGACCTCACTTCCTTTGTGGAAGTCACGGAAGATATACGACTGTATTTTATTTAGGTGTCAAAGTGCCTCGGTATGTTTTGATAGGGTTCCGTGTTCCGTTGGATTCAGAAATGAGTTTCTATTTTTGATAGAGAACAATAACTGATCGAAAGTAATGTCCGGTTTTTATATTATTAGAGATTTCGATTAAGTACTATACTACAAACCCGCAAAGTTATTATTTGCGTAATTACTGGTGGTTAGACCTCTTGCGAGTCCGCGCGGTTAGGTACCACCACCCTGCCTATTTCTGCCGTAAGCAGTAATGCGTTTTGGTTTGAAGGGTGGGGCAGTCGTTGTAACTATACTTGAGACCTTAGAACTTATATCTCAAGATGGGTGTCGCATTTATGTTGTAGATGTCTCTTAACATTAGGTGAGCTGTGAGCTCGTTCACCCATCAAAGCAATAAAAAAAAGAATGCAAGAGAAAATAAAAGGAATACTGAAAATGAACTCTGATTTATTCATAAAATGTTCATTCAAGGAAACATTAGTATTTAAAATTTTCAATCGATTTATAATAATTATACTAGACGTTTTAAAGTTTTCAATACGTTAAAATACGTAGTAGGACTACAGTACCATCTATTTGGTACTAACTAAAATGTTTTATTCGCAGTATGAGATTTTTTCTTGTGCTTACGTCACTAGAGATCTTGTGCCTCAGAGTCATTTCTCAGGTTGCCTGAGGGGATTAGCGGCTGCGGTGACTCAGTGAAGGCATTTATTCCCGTCGCTTCGTCTTAATCCCGAGGCTTTGCGGCAGGTGACGCACCCAACCTAAGATAGTAGCTATTGCGAAACCGGAGACTCCAATCTGTACAATGCTCTCTTGGACATACTATTAAAGTACATAGGTTGAAATATAGTGATAATAAATAGCTTTAAAAAAACAGATTGATCCGATCGAACCATTCTGAACATTATATTTGGATGCTAAAGATATAAATGGATGAAGGAATGTTTTCATGAAATATAACGTTCTTAACATCACTATAATTACTGTTTAAACTTAGCGACTAGTTATAATAGTTTGTCTTTTAAGGCAATAGAAATGTTTTATTATTGATTTTTTTGCACTTCACTCTGACCGCACAGAGTTCAAAATAGATCCAAACTTTAAAGATTCACTATTATTTAATATTAAGATCGTGGCAAATCCTTAGTATACCTGAGCAGTAATAGTTACAAAAGGCATTAAATTATTGAATATTCACTTCAGAATCATCATTTAACGTCTACACCATTGTCATAATAAGGTCTCTAGATGTTAATAGGCAATTGTTATTAATGAAAACCTCAGGGATTCTCGACAACATATCACTTCTGCGGGTAATATAGGTACTTGACGTAATTGAAATATCTGACTGATTTGAAATTGTACAATTTAATCTATCTATATATATAAAAATGAATTGCTGTTCGTTAGTCTCGCTAAAACTCAAGAACGGCTGAACTGATTTGGCTAATTTTGGTCTTGAATTATTTCTGGAAGTCCAGAGAAGGTTTAAAAGGCAGATAAATATGAAAATGCTCTAAATTAAATAAAAATACCAATTTTGTTTTTCCTTTGATATGTCCCCCGCGGACGGATTCCTTTTGTTTGTTTTAAGTTTATTTTATACAAAAGTTCAGGTCTTTTATTTAGCGATTGAGGCACTACGAAGTCTGCCGGGTTAGTTAGCTAGAAATAAAATAGGACATAATGTAACATAACGTGTACGTACAAAATAAATTATGTAAAGAAAATGTTATATCTACTCGTGTGAGGTTAACTTTTTATTTATTTATTTCTCTTCTAGGCAAACAGGGTAGCGCTCCACCAGATGGTGAATAGTCAACGTTACCCATGGACACCATCAATGCCAGTGGCAGAGTCAAGCCGCTGCTTGCCGCTTAGAACTTTGCGACAAAAACATCGGAAAAAAACACATCTCATAGCGCTCAGGAAGCATCGAGAAATGCAAAAAAGGTATCAATATTCGAATAAAGACCGCTTAAATCAGAATATCTTTATAGGGTATCTTAATGCGAATGCCACCATTCAACTTGAAATATGAGTCTTAATTTTGTTATCTAACTACTGTTGGATTCTTCAAGCCGAAACACGCGACCGTCTGGTCTTACAATGCATCTAACAAATTGTCAAGACCGTGCTAAGTACTTGCAGATACTGAGTAAAAACGTCATTCTTTATTCATTTTATAACAAGAGCTCTTTCATCCTGCTGCATTTTTCCGTGACCTCATTAAATAATCTAATTCGGTTGAGGATTGCCGCGTGCACGAACTAAATTAAATTCATAATAATACTAATCTCAGAAATTTATGTTAATGAATTTGATAATTACAAAATTCTCGTTGAATGGCGTTGTTATGTGATTTTAACGGTCCCCCGAAAAAGTCGTATTGCATGTCGTAAACAAATTAATGCCTATTGCTTATAAGCAGTCGCAAGTAGTTTACAAGTATTATTGATGATGTGAGGCGGGGCTGAAGTGAACTTTGACCTCGACCTGAACTAGGAAGTGCTTAGATCGACGCGTACAACAACAAAACATGTACGGTCAGCATAAAAATAATCAAGTGAATTTTAGACTTGGTGAGCTTGACTGGTCTCTGATCAGAA